CCCCCCCCCCATGCCTTGGTTCAAAAGCATAGAACTGTGGTAAAAGAGTCCCTTGTCTTGGTGCATACGCACAGAAACAGGTGTTGGCTGGTTTGAGGTTAGGTTGGACTCCCAGCTTTCTCTTTCTTTGGGATATAACCAGGAAAGAAAACCCACTTCAGGAAGGGGGAAAGACCTACATTTCAGGAAGATGGAAATTTGCTGCTGGGGGGAAAAGTCATATAATGAAAACAACAACAAAAACCAAAACCAAATAGGGTCATTATATCCCCCACTTCTCTCATCCTTGGACCAGCAGCCTCAGAATCAGATTAGCAGCACAACACACTGTAAAGGATCAGGTTTTCCTCTGCTGTTTACATGACTGATGGGAGCTATGGCACTCTGCAGCAAGTCTGCTTCAGGCAATTAGAATTGTTATGTAGAACTATCAGAAATCGGGGACTGTTTTTATCATAGATGAAGGGCATGATGGCTGATTTTGTGTATCATCTGAAGTGCATCTTGGACTATGCAGATAGCTGATTAAACATTATTACAGTCTTGTCTATGAAGATATTTCCAGAAGAAATTAGAATTTGAACTGGTAGACTGTGTAGAGCAGATGGGAGGCCTGAAGAGGACAAGAGGCTGGAGGAAAGTTGAGCATGCTTTGTCTGCCTGTGTGAGTTGGGACATCCATTGTCCCCGTGTCTCATCTTCAAACTAGTCTATGTTCTGTACTTTTGGCTTCCTGGCTCTCAGGACTATACACCAACAGAGGGAAGATCATGGGTCTTCTCAGCCTCCATAGTCACAGGAGCCAACAATGTTACAATGCACTCATTCTTTACACCTATTTCTGGTCTATCAGCTTCCTCTGGAGAAGGTAATACTATAAGTTTGAAGGGTTGCTCTTCTACAACAGTGCCTTCCCACTAGAAAAAAACCAATGTCTGAATTGGCTTGGAAATCAAGTGCTTCAGTTACTGGAATGTTTTGCTTAGCTGAGAATTTCCATCTCTCAACATCACATGTGGGATAAACATGTTATCACTTAACACTAAATCACACAGAGTGTAATTCCATCTTCCTTTGAGAATTTCAAAGGCACTCACTGTACTTTGGGGTCATTTTCATAATCCCACTTCTAGAGGATGTGTAGGGAAGCCCTTTGTAAATTGCAAAGGATTGTGAGCATGTAGAGCTTCATTGTTTCTTTCTTTCTTTCTTTTAATGAGAAAAAAACTGTATTGACCAGGTTCATCGAGACATGACATGACATAAAAGATTCTTTTGGGGATAGTATGTGACAACAACTCATTTACGTATCATTTACCTCTTCTCCATGAAAGCAAACTCAAGACTATTAAGCTGGGTATGGTATCACACACTTTTAATCACAACACTAGGGAGACAGAGGTAGGAGGATCTCAGAGTTTGAGGCCAGCCTGGTCTAAAGACTGAGTTTAGGACAGCCAGGGCTACACAAAGAAACCCTGTCTCAAAACAACAACAAAAACAATGAAGAATATGTAAAAGTTCCTGTCTCCACTTTTGAAGGTGTTCCTCATGAATTTATTTCACTCTGTTTTTAGCATCAAAAACAGTGTTCATTTGTGAAGTCTCCCAATATGCATCAATAATAAAAACAAGGCTCTGATAACAGGAAAGCATTGCAATGAAGAGAAGTCCTGTGCTTCTGTGAATTCAGGGACTGAGGAATCTGGAGACAGTCTCAGCACTGTTCCTGAGGGGCTCTTACAGCCTTGGCCTTGGGAAAGCCAATTACCCTTTCTGAAACATGTTTTCCTCAGGATGATGAAAAGGCAGTGGTTTCTAAAATCCCTTTAAGGTCTAAAATTTCTATGATCTTATGCCTTGGCTCCCTTCTTTTGAAATTATGTTCACTCATTTTATTGAGCTAAAAGAAAACTATATTTCTGAAGTAAAATGATGCTGGGTGGGACAACAGCTTTGGAGTGCCACATTGGTGACTTGAGTTACATCAAGGGCAGCAGTCAATGCAGAAACTCACAGCTGGTCAAAGTGCAGAGCCTATGACTGTGGGGTTCTCAGTCACAAGCGGGACATCTGTATCCTACCCCTACCCACAAAGCTCAGGGAACATCTTGGAAGACCTGGCCAGAGGTCAGGAGAAACACCATTTTTCCATACACAAGGACACCACTGCACCCATGGGCTTCTAGAAGCTATGGTTGCTTGCTGAAGACCTGAGGAACATCAAGCTAACCAGTATTCCAGCATGGGATGGGAGGAGCTCATGTGTCCCCACTTCTAGCTGAAGCACCACTAACTGTTGGTGGCTTCTTGACTAGAAAGAGGCAGTTTTCTTTAAGAGTATAGTCCCTGATAGGCTGACCACACTCTCTCTGGTGGGTAGCCCACATACCCACAATTATGTGAACAGAACAAACTGTACTCTGAGGGTTATTTGAAAAAGAAAGATAAGTAGGAAGGGAAGGAGGTGAGGCATGGGTTAGGGAGAAGTTAGAAGAAAGAGTGGGAGATGAATGTAATCGAAATACATCGTATGCATGTAAAACCCTCAAAGAATTGATAAAACAGTTTATGTAATGAAAGGAAGGGGTACTCTGAAAGGTTTTCAGACTGGAAGGGGGGGTATTCTACTAGGTGACCCTCCCTAAATCAAGTCCTGGGGACTCAAGAGAAAGAAAGATTGAGGAGGCTGACGGTATCTGATAGAGGGGGCATTTCACTATCCAATTGGAACTTAGTGTGTGTGGACCTGTGGGTAGGCTCCAGGGTTGAAGAAGGGAGATGGAACATAAAAAGCCTTAGAAGGACTCTTCGAGGACTCAAATGAAATTGTGTACTGTTTCTTGTTCTTCTCTAGAATTTGGGTTGAAGATTAGTGGTAGAGTGAAGAGACAGAAATAACAGTTACAGTCACTCTCCACTGACATTTCAGTCTGGCAAGGATTAATGAGATTCCGGTGGATGGTGGGTCAATTGGGAAGTTCCATGCAAGAAGGGGTGCATCAGGGCAGCATTATATTTGGAAATGAGCTATGAGGTGAACTGTCCAGATAGCCAATGAGGAGTACAGTGGCACCGATGACCTGAATGTTTTCTCTTCATCTTGTTTCTCTCCCATGTTTTTGGACCTGAGGATACCCAGAAACAAAGTGAAAAGGTGGCCAACTGACAGAACATCTGTGCCTTCTCCCTCTATAGGTCCTTTTTATTTTGTCTGTGTGCTTTATAGCTGAGGAAACAGAGGCAGACTTTGGATTTTAGCCACGTATCTGATTGATGGGTCATATATGCTATTGGATCTCCCCCTCATGGTTTTGTATATTGCATTTTCTCTGCCTTCTTCAGTTTCATATTGACTGTTTCTCTATTTCCATAGCAGCAACAAAGTGAAATGAGTAAATATCACATCTTCTTTAGATATAGAGATGACCCTATTTGTTTGTGAGCTCTACATGTGAGGACTCAACAACTTGAGACTAAAAAGCTTTTGGAAAAACGTTCCATCTCCACTGAACACTTTTTGGGTCCCTGGTTTCTGAACAATACAGTGTAACAACAATTTACTGAGCATTTATGTTATATTAGGTACTCCAAGTGATCTGTCCAAAGTCTGCCCTGGAAGATTGCTCAGTAGTTAAATGTATAGTTCTGAAAACAAGAATATCACAGTTTAGATTCTTAGAATCCATAGAATTGGTAACCCATATGTAATTCCAGGCTTGGAAAGTGGCATTAGGAGGTACCAGGACTGAGCAGACTAGTGAGAACAGCTGTGTTGGTGAGCACTGGGTTTGACTGAGAGATGCTGCCTCAAAAGTATATGATGGATGAGCAATCGAGAAAGATTCTGGACATCAACCATGCACCTCCACATATATGTGTGCACACACACTAGAGCACACATGTACTAGCACACATGTAAGCACACACATGCATGTGTAACACACAAATAACTTATCTATGTAAAAAGGAAAAAATATAACTCTATTTATGCCATTCTACATAAGGGACTCCAGCATCTGTGGATTTCCTTGGCACATCCTGGACCTACTCTCCTATATATACCAAAAGATGATTTCATATACAAAGGTTGGTTTATGACAAACTGATGAGAAAAATTTTAATCATGGAATTGTTACTTTGAGGAAACTTCTTCCTTAGATATGTAAGAGATTAACAAACAAGAAAGGATATTCCTTAGATAAATTATGTAGGGGGAACCTACACTTTTCAAAGAAATGACTTGATAAAATTTTGTTCCTGGGAAGTTGTGGTCTTTGAGGACAAGATGTAGACCCATGTTGAATTCTCAAGTGTCTCACTTGTTACCAGGGCAAGTAATTCCTATGATGGCATGAGAAGATTACCTAGAGTCATACACCTCAGAGTTACTCAGGGCAGTGTCAGTAAGTTCATGGCTTCTCCATCAACTCTTGGTCTTAAATACAAATTTATATTACTCTTATTATTCTTATTAAATATATATGTAAAATGCATTTTACTTAATTGTGTTTTAATAGTCTTAAATATAGTTCTGTGTAAATTAAAAGGAGTATAAATTATGTTATATCCTAAAATATCCATTATTATAACAATTTAGGGAAATGTTTTGTGGAGGACTCTCATACTTTCTCTTCACTTGGACAACATCTTTTACTCATTACTATGAAAATTGCTTTTTCTCCGTTTGAGGCAACTTTTGTTGCCAGAATGGGTGTGGTGAGTGGTGCAAGGGGAGTTTAATAATGTATTGTCAATTTAGTCTCCAAGACAAAACTCTGGTCTTCTGAATAATTTCTTTTCCTCTGGGCATTTGGCTTTGCAAGTGGGATGAGAGAGAGCTACTTGCTGGACTGGAGGCTGTTCATGACGTATCGCCTTGAGAACTCTTCATATTCAGAACAAATGCAGTGTCTGGGTCAGCAGAAAGTCACATGTCAGAAACTGTCAACATTTCTTCCCCATCTCTCCTTATTACTTAAGGGTTTGGCCAAGTTCCCAATGTCTTTATCTCCCAGAAGTTGGATGACTGGGCAGCTTTGCTTCCTCCTTATCTTTCTGTCTCCACAACTGTCCTTTTTTGCTATTGTTTTTAAAGAAAGTGTTGTTTGGTGAGTTCCAGAATTATTTGTCTCAACAAAAAAATTTAGAAACCTGAATTATAATACTGATGACATCAGAATCAATGAGACAGAAAAAATCTATATCTGCATTTGATTTGGAGCAGAGTACAATGCGGACTTACTCGTGGAAGTTGGAGTATTATATTCCAAAGATCATCAGAAACCATCATTCCCTTTGGTTTTTCTGCATAGATAAGAACAATGCCTGTGAAAGTATGTCTTCTGGTTTCCTATTTTAGAATAATAACAGCAATGTTATGGATGCTTCTGGTATACCAAATTCTGTTTGGAGCATTTCCTACACACTTAATTTTATTTGACCCCGACAACAACCATTTCTAGTGTACCATTTCTGGTTTACCAAATTCTATTTGGAGCATTTCATACACATCTAATATTATTTGACCACCACAACCACCATTTCTAGGTGAAGAAAATCATGTTCATGAATGTCAGGTGACTTTTTCAAAGTATCATATTTGTAGTGGCAAAGTTGAATTGGAACTATTTTCCTCAGTTTTATCTTGCAGGAGAAAATGTCCTGATTACATTTCATGCATAGAGACCAAAAGCATTCTGGGCTTCCCAAATCCTTAAGCCAGGGATATAATGAAAACTTCAGCACACGGTTGAGTAATCATGTTGCATAAGAAAGGATAGTGATACAGTCAATATGTTTCATATACTCTATTGAGAGATAATCAATTGCAAAAGCAATAAATATTTCATATGATAAAACTATGTGTGGTGGTTTGAATAAGAAATGTGCCCACGGGATCCCTTGGTCCCCAGTAGTTGTTGCTCTTTGGGGAGGTTATGGAACCATCAGGAGGTGGTGCCTTGCTGAGGAAGTATGTTACAGGGGCAGGCTTTGAGGGATTATACCCTCTCCCCACTTCCTGTTCTCTTTTTCTCTGCTTCCGGTGTGGATGAAAACATGATCTGCTGCCTCGTGCTCCTGTCACTGTGTATCTCTTCCCATGTCGTACTTGCGCCTTAATGGACCCTACCCTTCTGAAACCATAGGCCAAAATAAACCCTTTTCTCCGTTAAGAATATTTTATGACAGCAACAGAAAAGCAACTAATACATCATGTTAACATTGCTTTCTGATTAGTTTCAAAGGAATTTGAGCATCTATTTAAATTTTGGGGTTAGAGAAATTCAAATACTCAAAAGTAAAAGAGACTTGAGAAGTCTTTATTATTTATTCTTTCCTCCTTGGTTTCTTGATTGCAGTTCTCTGCTTCACTTCTTTGAAATGTGTCAAAGATCATCTGTTTGGAATTTACTAGTAATGGGGATTTCTACTTAACATGACAGAGAAACGCACAGCTACACTAAAATGTCCACACTGCTCTAAAAGTGCTATGTGCCAGTTACTATGCAAGTGTGGGAGATGGGCCTGGTTTGGAGGGAGAGGACATTTAACTAGGTACAAGGGAAAAATGACATTTGCTCTGCTGTCTCTTGAAGGAAAGAAATAAGTCTGGCCATGAAGGGGAATAGCATGGGGGTAGAAGGAGCAGGCAAAGGTCCAAATCTTTGGCAAGCATTGGAGCATGTGACAGGTGTCTTCGTGTACCTAGGGTGTAGGTGGAGATGTCCACAGAGAGGTCAAATCCAAGACTGGAAATGTATAGCCCATGATGAAGACTTTAAATTTTATCTTTAAGACAAGGGAGTCATTAAAGGGTTCCCAGGGTCTGATAGGCAAACCGTAAGGAGGGACCCATTAGTACAGACACACAGAAATCTATACCATTGCTGGTCAGAAGTTTCAGCCAACAGGATTTGTTGAAAACTTGGATGTAGTATTAACAGAGATTGGAAGACGTAGGGGATAAAGCCCTGGTTCCTAGCATGGGCATCTTATATATAAGGTAGAGGCTGGGGGAAAAAAAAGAAACAAGGTTTCATCCTATAACTTGAAAATTCTACTTGTAAAATCCCAGAACTTGGGAGGCATAGGCAGACAGATGGGTCTTATGAATTTGAAGCCAGCCTGGTCTACTTATTTGAGATCCAGGCCAGTCGTGGCTATATAGTGAGACCTTGTCAAAAAAATCTTGAATTGACTTTCAAAAGACATCCTTCAGATTGGCCTTAGTCTTAGATTCATAGATGCTCCAGCACTATATTGTAGATGTGCTGAATTTCGGGTATATAAAAACACACTATAAACTGCTCAATATACCAAATGTCTATTATCTCTCTCTACCCCACCCCCCTCTCTTTTTCCCCTTCCTAGTACGTTTTCCCTGGAGCTCCTAACATTACAATGCCAAGGTTCCTTTCCTTGTTTAGTACCTGAAGAATAAGCTTAATCTCTGAAACTTTATAAGCAATAAATAAATAAAATCCAGCAAGAACATACACTGAAAGGAGACAGATGGATTGTGAAAATCTAACTGAGCCCTGGCCCTCTCTCCGCCTTGTATCCACTGGCCTTTTCATTGCTGTGCCTTATGTATCTTGCCATTCATTCCAGCATAATGACAAGGAGGCTGACTGTAGCTCTGTTCCCAGCACAATACCCCCTGCTTCACAAAAGCCCTCTGGGAAGAGAGAATCAAATATAGAATTTGCTGAAGAGCTCAAATATCGTCATATTCAGCTACCCAAATCCAACCTAATGACGTTTGGAGAAATGTGGGATGTCAAAGAGGCCATTCACCTATTGTGACAATTGTTAGTTCCTTTCCCTTTTTCTGTCCTCTTATTTTTATTTTTTTATTTTTCAAATGGAGACTGTGCTTTGACTTGGTCATTTACTAACTTTCACTGAAGAAAAAGACAAGGAGGATGAGTGGCATTGTGCAGATACCATGGCTCGGTGAGGTGATGACAACTGTTGTCTCTGTCACATTAGTCCTTCAGTCATCAGTGCAGCTGCAAGATGCTCGACTTCCACTTCCTACAAACACCAACATTTCCCAAGATCACTTGCAGCTGGAGGGTGAATCAAGAAGGAGAAATGGCAAGCCAGGCATTGGTGGTGCACGCCTTTAATCCCAGCACTCAGGAGACAGAGGCAGGCCGATCTCTGTGAGTTCGAGGCCAGCCTGGTCTCCAGAGCGAGTGCCAGGACAGCCTCCAAAGCCACAGAGAAACCCTGTCTCAAAAAACCAAAAAAATAAAAAAAGGAGAAATAGCTGCAATTGCAGGTGTCCCTATCCTCCTTCCTTCTATTAGGGTGTGACAACTGTTACCATAGACCTGGTTGCCTCCACATGCTCAGTGGTTGGCATAGCTATCAGCCAATGTAATCTCTAACGTCAAAATGATGACAGGGGCTGGCCATGGTGCCACACACCTTTGATCCCAGCACTGGGGAGGCAGAGGCAGGTGGACCTCTGTGAGTTGTGAGGCCAGCCTGGTCTACAGAGTGAGTTCCAGGAAAGCCAGCATTGTTAAACAAAGAAAACCTGTCTCAAAAAACAAAACAAAACAAAAATGGCGACAGGTTAATCATGCCATGACTGACCAAGAAAACCACAAATTCATGAATTACCAGTCTGGCCTAAGGTAATGGGTCACAGGATAACCAAATATATGGCTTAAACCATAAGTAATACATACACACAGTCTCAAACCTCTTTGTGAAGGAAGTACTCCTGTGGGCTGTTGAAAGCCCAGGAAAGCAGGCCCCAAGCAGATAACATTTGAAGCAGGGTTGGTACAATACCTAGCCCCTTACCAGCTGCAGCCCAAGGCAGCATGACTAAATCCAGACACTAACCACGCTTTATTCTCTATCCAGCATTTCTATGATTCCTGATATGTGTGCTACAGTCCCTGTCTTCAACCACGGTCACATAGCACAGGTCATATATATTAACTGAGTCTTTTTCCTTGCAGTGCAGGACCTCCTCTTCTCTCGAATCCTCCAAGAGTGGTGTTATCCCACTTTGTCCCTTAGGCCTGAAGCTCTCTGCTCCACTGCCCTGCTGCCAGGCTGGTGGAATTCTCCTCACCATCCTTTAAGCTTGCTAAAGCACATTGCAGAAACTTTCAGATACTTGAGTCTACATCTTAATTCTTTATTCAACCAAGAGATCATTTTCAACATCTGTTAAAGTTAACTATTTATCAACAAAACCCAGCCTGTACTACCACTTGAGAAATCTACAAAGAATGCTCAAAAATAGACACAGACTTGTAAGAAGGGAACATGTGTTCAAGGTGACAGTTTATTTACGGCTGGGTTAAATAATTTGTTGTAAAAGGTAAGTTTCATGATCATTTTCAGAAGAATAATGTTTAAGTAAAAAGATAAGGATGGATGATGTTTTCTAAGCAAAGGGCCAAAGGTCTGACAGAAGGTACTGGGCAGACCCTACCCTTTCTCAACAAAAAAGACAGAGAGAGATAAGAAAGGAAGGAAAGATGGAAGGGAGGAAGAAAGGAGGGAGGGAGGGAGGAAAGGAAAGCAAGATGGAAAGGGTGGGAGAGGAAGAACAAAAGCAAAATAAATGATATGTAAATTCTAAATTCAAGTTAAAGATTCAGGAGGCAAGTGCTCCCCTGACAGATGAACAACTACTTCTGTAGCCCAGGAGTGCTCCAAAGTTCTGGAAAGGCAGGTCATCTGAAAGATAATGGGAGAGCATTCTTCAAAGCACACACACTCTCTGTTGCAATCCCTGTCTCTGCCCCTCCTTTTCCCTTTGTCCATTTCTCTGCCCCTCTGTCTCCCATTGTCCATTTCTCTGTCTCTCCTTTTCCCATTGTCCATTTTTCTGCCCCTCTGTCTCTCGTTGTCCATTTTTCTGCCCCTCTGTCTCCATTGTCCATTTCTCTGCCCCTCTGTCTCCCATTGTCCATTTCTCTGCCCTCTGTCTCCCATTGTCCACATTAGGATTTGGGGTGAGAGGGATCACATTTTACTAGACCTCCCACAAACTGCTTTGGACACATTTTCACTTGATCATGAAGATTCTCCCATACCATAGGTAGTATTATTCCAGTACTTTAGAGATGAAGAAACAGAGGCCAAGAGGAGCTAAGAAAAGTTGCCCAGGGCCATGAAGCTGCTATGCATTAGGGCAGAAATATGGATTCCGGTCGATCTGAATTCAAAGTCTTGTTGTGGAACACGGTGGATGCCTTGCAAATCCTCATTTATTCAGGGCTCACATCAATATTAAACACTCTCCTTCCCCAGCCAGGCCTCTCCCTTGTTGCTGGGTGAGTGACCGTGCTGTTAGTCACCACGGTGGAAGGAAACCTTTGTGACAGTTAGTGGTCTGCGTGCATGTAGGGGACGGAAAATAAAGCAAAATCGGCTATTTGCATAAATAGAATCCGCTCAAATGTCAGCAAGCACATACTAGCAACAAATGTGAAAACGAGGCAAAGGCGGATAACACACCTCCTCTTGCCTCACACCCACCCTTGTCCCTGCAGCCTCCGTTCCCATCCCTGCCAGGAAGCATGTCCTGTCAGATAAGCCCTAGCTAGACAAACATTGTCATTTGACTTCAGCCCATCACTCTGATCCAGATACGGTCCAGGTCCAGGCTGAACACCCAATCGTGAGTGGAATTTGCTTTGACATGTACCTGGCTGTGATAGCCAAGTCCATGCCTCTACCCCTACCCCACTTGACCCCAACGGTCTTGTATGTCAGAATGTGACATCCCAGGTGTCAGCTGTGACACTGCATGCACAGAGGAGGGAAAAGATGGACAATGACAGCAGAGGCTCTGGTGAGTGTTCCAAGTCTGGTACCAGCAAAGGGCTTCTGCCTGGAAGGAGTGAGTTGGATCTACCAACTGGGTGTCAGAGAGGCTGGGAGTGCATGAGCTGTCCTGGCTGCCATGGAGTCTGGATGCCCCTTGCTTAACCATTGTTTTCATTTTGGGTCCTCTCTGAGTCATTCACTGTGAACTTGACAACAAGCAGCATTTTCCATGTCTGGAAGAGCCCAGGTGTGTGCAAAGGTGTAGACACAAAGTTAGCAAAGGCATCACAAGTCAGTTGCCCTAGACCAGTGGTTCTCAATCAATGGGTCACAACCCCTTTGGAAGTCAGGCAACCCTTTCACAGAAGCAGAATATCAGATATTTACATTACAATTCATAACAGTAGCAAAATTACAGTTCTGAAGTAGCAACAAAAATAATTTTATGGTTGGGGGGTCACCGTAACATGAGGAACTGCATTAAAGGGTCACAGAATTAGAAAGGTTGAGAACCACTGTCCTAGACACAAAACAGGAAAAGTAGTCAGAAGCCAACAGTAAACATTCAGTGCTTGTAAATGGAAGTGAGTGCCTTGTGTAGCTTGCCAGAATTTCTCCTTAGGAGTAAGGGGTGTATTTCAAGACCCTAAGGAGACACCTGTGCCTGCAGGCAATACTAAGCACTTCATGTACTCAAGTTTCCTCTTTATTTATTAATTAGTGTGTGTGTATCTCTCTCTCTCTCTCTCTCTCTCTCTCTCTCTCTCTCTGTGTGTGTGTGTGTGTGTGTGTGTGTGTGTGTGTGTATGCACACAGGGACACACATGCTACCATGCACAACTGAAAGGTCAGAGGTCAGTTCTCTCCCTCTGCCATTTTGGGTTCCAGTGATCTAATTCAGGTCACCAGACTTGGCACAGGGCACACACCTTTATCCACGGAGCCATCCAACTGGCCCCACATACTCTATTTTTCTGAATGTTATTACCTAAGTTAAAATTTAATGTGTAAGTGTCAAAGTAAGAAATTAACAATAATTCCCTGTAACTTTTTGCAACCCCAGTATTGCATTTTTATCACTATAAGAATTTTCACAGTTTGAGTGATGCTTTATGATGCTTCCTTGGCATATCTGGAGGGGTACTTTGCTGTGTTTGTACTTTGGGTCCATCATTAAGTGAAGAAATGTTACTTAAGCACAAGCTCTGTGATACCATATCAGTCTGACAACTGAGACAGCTAGGTGCTAATGGGTAGGTGGTATATAAAGGGTGGATACACTAGACAAAAAGATAACTCATGTCCTGACTAGATCAGAGCCAGATAGTCAGATCTTACCACACTACAGAGTGGTGCACGATTTTAAATGTGTTTTGGGAATTTTTTTAGTTGAACATTTTCAAAATATAGGATATCATAGGTAATTGAAACCATGGGAAGCAAAATCCTGACAAGGAGGAACTATAGGACTACAGTATATGACTTTATTGTCGCATAGGAGCCTGCTTATGGCTATATATTCACTAATTAAATCAAATCTATTATTAGGTTGTGGCTGAATGCACTCTGGTAAACACTATGATATCCTTTCTTTTCTTTTTAAATAGCATTTTTAATTCAGTGTGTGTGTGTGTGTGTGTGTGTGTGTGTGTGTGTGTGTGTGTGTGTGTGTGTGTGTTGATTTCGTTTTTCTATCATATGTATCTTTGAGATCCCACTCAGGTCGTCAGCCTTGGCAACAAGTGCTTTCACCTGATGAGCCATCTTGCTGGCCTGAAATCTTTCCTTTCCCAACACTTCTCACCTGGAGCACAGAGCACATAACTGGGCACATTAGGTACCTTTGTAGTCCCCTGCTTTAATCTATCCTGACATGTCAGGATGAATGTCCTCCTGCTCCCTGAGCCCATATACTCTAATGACAGCCCAAGGGCTGCACTGCATGTGTATCTACTGGGAGTGGTAGGCCCATAGTCCTCCAACTTGTCAATGGGGTTGTCATCTTTGACTTAAGCTCACTAGCTCTCCCCTATGCAAACTAATATTTACATTAGGTTCATAAGGTCCGACACAGCTTAAGCAGAAGAAACCATTTTTGAAGTTCCAAGTATGACTTGCAAGCACGACAGGCTCAGTGCAGTGAGCACCAGGATGGGAGCAGATGTACCTGCTGCACCTGGTTTTGCCCACGTCTTGGTCTTCATCACATTTCTAGACACCAGTATAACTTATTCCAGAAAAGCACGTGTTTCTAGGTAGTTCTTTCACCCACAAGAGATTTTGGAAGGTTGAGACTCATGTGAGTAACTCTCTGTTGTGGATGTTTTGCTCTTTTTGCTTTTTTTTTTTTTTTTTTTTTTTTGGCAGGGGGGTACCACCCAGCTCCCAAATAAAACATACATGGAGGCTTATTTTTGGTTATGAATGCCTGGCCTTAGCTTGGCTTGTTTCTAGCCAGCTTTTCTTATCTTATTTGGACCACCTTTTGTGCTCTGAGCCTTTTCCTTTTCTTACTTCTGTACATCTTACTTTCACTCTTACTGCATGGCTGGCTGACCGCTGATCTCCTCCTCTCCTTGGTCTCTCATAGCTCCTCCCTTCCTTGTTTCTCCTTCTATTTATTCTTTCTGTCTGCCAGCCCCGCCTATCCTTGTTCTTGCCTATCTTGTTCTTCACTATTGGTCATTCAGCTCTTTATTAGGACCACCAGGTGTTTTATTTAAACAGGCACAGTAATGCAGCTTCATGGAGTTAAACAACTACAGCATAAACAAAAGTCACACACCTTAAAATAATATTATACCACCACAACACTCTCACCTGCCTGTCTCTCTCCCTGCATGCACACTCATAGTGTCTGTGTTATGATAAATCTTTCCGCCAAAAGCCTCTGAGCCCCACTGCCACGTGTGCACTTTACGACAGCTGCCCGCCCGAATTAGGGCCCAAATTAATACACAGAAACTTGTATTAGGTTCAAATGCTGCTTGGCCAATGACTAGGATTTCTCATCTGTTAACTCAGTCTTATTTATCATAAATCTATATATTTTATAAGACTTCTCTTATCGGACACCTTCCATTGCTGTCCCTCCTTGCTGGTGGATCACATTGCGCCACTGGAGGAAGAGCAGAGGGAAAAGGGACACTTCCTGTTTCTCCTTGCTTAAATATGAGTCTCCTTGCTATGTC